GGTCAATGGCAAGGTGGAGCCATTTTTTTTTCTTTTTTCCTGGCTGGAGCCATGAATTTAAAAACACAATATGAGAAAGAGGAATTCCAAACCTGTGCCATATCTAAATTTACCCACACCATGTGGAACAGAGGCTGAAAGCCTAAGCATTTACTCTGATGAAATCCAAATAATCCCAGGCAGAGACGTATTAAAAACTCACTGCTAGCAATAGGTCAGCAACTCAGAAGCAAAAGGACTCTCATGGAAGACAAACACACTGAAGATGCAGCTCCCCCGCACGCTCCAGACTTCATCAGGAAGAGCAACCCAATAAGGGAGAGTAGGCAGGTACAGATATGGGAGAAAGTGCTCTTCAGAGACAAGAGAGAAACCTGAAGGAGGCTTTAAAAACGTTTCAAAATTCAGAGATGAAGGAAGGAATGAAATCCCCAAAGCACAAACAGATGGAACTATAAGCTACATGTATGTGAACAGAAATGCAAATGACTGGAAGACAGATCTGAAGACATTACTTACAGGGCAGCACAAAAGTAAATAAGTAAGTAAAACAAAATATGAAAGAGAAGTTAAGAATTCTGGAAGATAAAATTTCTGACTACCAGTTTCAGTTCCTTGATACAGGCCCAGCCCTCTGCATTGAAAACATTTTGGCAAATGGAATATTATAAAAGCATGGATGCCTGAAAGCACGTGACATAGAGTTTTAAACATATTATTAACATGGGGATATTTATAATAAAGAACTGTGATGATTATTGGTCACAGTAATAGATTTATATAAAAGGTTTTATTGGCTCTGTTAGATATAAGTACAATTTCCTATTTTCATGATAAAAAGGACAAAGAAAAACATAACTAAGAATAGACAAATAATTTTATTGTCTATTAATTGCCTGGCCACATCCTTAGACAGCTGATAAAGGAACAATATGGCCTGGTGGCTGGACTTCTAGTTTCTCTGTAGGAATAGTATTCTTACACATTTTCCCCAACAATTCTATTCTGGGCAAGGCTGGTGGTTTTCGGGTCTGAAAGGTCTCTGATATGTGAGTCCCTTGTACAGGGACCTCAGTCCATTGCAGAGTTCCAGGAGCACACTCAGGTACCGAGGGGACCTGAATCTCCCATTCAGCTCTGAGTGGAATGGGAATGGTCCAGGCTCTTATTCAGCTCCAAACATGCTCCATGAACACCAAGCAATTTGGACCATGGGAGACTTTTACTATGATTCAGAAACTTGAGAACTCAGGGATGGCTGGAATTCTTATCAAGATTTCAGTGCACTGCTACGGCCAGACGACTAAGAGGTGGGTTTCAATTCACTTGTTAGAGAAGTGGTCATCAAACTTTTAGAAGAGTAAGGATTTATTTAGCAATCTTACTGAGCCATGGATCCCTCAGTAATTCTGATTGGCTAGGTGACCTCATGGTGCAACAGTAGCATGACTGACTCCAGAACGTAATGAATGAGGCAAGCCAATGCCAAGGAAGTTGCACGTGTATCAGACACAGCATTCCTGCCTTGCACTGACTCGACCCCTCACGAATAATATCTCAGCCCTTAGTGTTGATGGCTGTTGTCATTTTCTGCTTGGACTGGACACCTGGTCACAGATCTTTAAGGTCTAGTGTTTATTCCAAAAATAAAAACAGGCCTCCACCTTTACCATATGCTCTTCTCCTCAACCTTCCAATTTGCTTGGTTTACTCCATTTTACACACCTTGAGGACAATGCCAATTAGCACTTTTCACAGTGTTTCTCTATATTTGTCACATGGAACACACTCCTGTAAACCTAGCATCATGTCTAGCTCATTGTAGAAGTTTAAGGAAAAAAAGAAAAGAAAGAGTTCCTTTCTCATATTTTTTGATTACTCATTCTTTAACCTTCACCTAATGGACAAACAGATGTTAAGTTTCAAAAACTCCACATAGAAATCCTAGAGAATAAAAATGAACATGACTTTACTTTTTCTATCTACCCAAGATGAATCTCTGTATTAATGAATATCTATATTATTACAGAAGCATCTTAGGGCTTCACTCATCTTATGACAAAATTAATGTACTTTACAATCCAATAAATATTTATTGAGCAATTGGTAAGTGGAAGGCACTGTGGTCGACACCATGAGGGTACAATGATGGGGATTCTGTCTTTGGGAGGCTTGTAGCATAATAAAGAGCTCGCATGCTGAAAACGGAAGTATCCAGAGCCAAATGAGACTTTAGTGTGTGACACTTTTTATACAGTAAAGCAAATTTTTTTTAAAGGTGTTTTAGAGAGCTGTTGAATACATTCTGAGAAAAGATACAGCACGATGGGACTTCTTTTCTTAATCTGTAAAATGGGCAGAATAAGGGTTTTTTTCCAGCTGCACCATCACCAAAGCGGGTCACGCGCTCAGCATATGCCAGAACATAGTATTTTTCCAGTAAATGTAGCTGTAACTATCCATACTGATCTATTTTTTATTGAAAACCTTTCTAGCTGTCTTGTAGTAATCTATCATGGCTCACTGCAGACAATATGGCCCATACTATAGAGCATAAACAAAACAATTTTACTTTGTTAATGGTGTGATTGCAGTTTTCATCTAAATTTCCAATGGCCAAATACACAGACTTGCTCAGAAGCCATCCAGTCTTAGGTGATGTTTTGGAATGCTCCTTCAGAAATGGAAACAGTAGGACGCTTCAAAATTGTCATCCAGAACACTGAGAGTGCCTGTTGAAGAACAGTGGGTGGCTGATATATTTTAACTTAGAGTTATTCACGAAGAAACATAAAATTATTTGTGAAGGCCACTTTTCGTTTCTAGTACTCAGATAATTAATGCAATGCATCAGAAAAACTGTGGAATAAAATAGGTTTTTTCTTTTTCTTTTTCTTTCTTTTTTTTTTTTTTTTTTTGTACCAGGGATCAAACTTGGGACCTTGCACTTGCAACGCAGGCAGAAGAACCACTGAGCTAAATCCCTGGCCCTAAAATAAGTTCTTTTTATGAGGCCAGACATACTGATGTTAGCACATGCATTTCAGATTGAAACAATCCCAAAGGAACTGTAAGGTAGAATGACAGAGAAAATACACACGATATATGTATACAGAAGAATGGGGGGTTGTGAATTTGTTGTTAAAACAGGACTAATCAGATAGTCTGTTTTGAAGAAAAACACATAGTGCCACCTAATTAGTTGTGACAAAGCAAAGATACAATTGTTAAATATATACCATGAGTAGGAACATTGATACCTGGCCTGTTATAAGAAGTTAGTTCAAGTATATTACTCATGTTTTTTCTGATAACTTTCTTTTCTTTTTGGTTGTATTCTTCCCGATTGTTATTTTATATGATTATGAGAGACATCACACTCAGCCAATTCTAGCAGAGATCAGGGAACCGAAGTTCACTGACTCTATACAGACACCTGCCCTCACCTACTGGGTGGGAATCCTCTCCAAGCCTGTGAATGACACCATTAGTGCTGGGAAGCGCGGCTTCATAAACAGTCTCACACTGCGCAACACATCCGTTTGTAACAGACACCGAGTCCCCGCTATGCGCGCACACACACACACACACACACACACACACACACGGGTTCCCTCTACGCCTCACTGCTGGTGGTCATCCATTCCCACCCCACCAGCCCTACAGACGTGGCATTTCCTAGCTTGGCAGGATTCTGCTAAATCTCACTATGTGATTTTAATCTTTTATGCTTCCTAGAACCCAAAAAGCATTTCCCACCACACCTCCAGGGACTCAGTAGCCCTTTCACACACAAAAACCAGTGTGCAAAAGTCCAATCCATGCCTAAAAGCAAAATGCCAGGAGGAAGCTCTCCAAAGTCATTCACTAAAGAGTGAAGTCCCCCTCTCGGAACAGCACATGCCACTCCCTGGTGAGCTCGCCCGCAGTGCAGAGGTCTGTTTCCTCTAGAGAGCATCACCAACAGCGGAAAGAGTCCTGAGCGCTGACTAAGCATTCCTGCCCACTCTGCAGGAGCGTGGGCTCCGGAAGACCCTAGAGACAGCGCAGGCAGGGGCGCGGCTTCTGCTCTCCTGCCTCATTTCTTCGAGCTGTAAGATGGGAATAATGGAGCCGCGGATTTAGCTCAGTGGTTCCACTGCCTGCCTCGCAAGGGCAAGGACCCAAGTTTGATCCCCGGTACCCCCCAAAAAATATTAATAATGAATGATATTGCCTCTTGCCCATTTATAAATGGAGAACTCTGGGGTCCTACCACTGGGAGAGACGGCTAAATCTCTGTTATCCTGCAACAGTCTCAGGTTGTGTTCAGGGAAACAGAACCGAAACATGTTACAACACTCGCCACACCACACCCAGCCTGTGTCAGGTACTCAGAAAGGTCAGGGTGAGCTCATTCTCCAAAACCGAGGTCATGGGGGTGGGGATGGGCCGCGGGTGGAGGAAGGGGGTAACCCAGAGACCAAATGACAGAACAAGTCCGCAGAATCGCTGCTCTTCTTTCAGTTTTTGGCCCGGGTCACACGAATCTCTAGTTTTGTAACCTTCAGATCGCTCACAGATACATTCGCAGCTGTAACAGTGCTCAGGGCAGAGAGGAAGGGTTAACAAGAAGCACAATCGAATTCAGAACACATCTGGAAAGAAATGGCTCCTCAAGTCCACACCGCAAGAACTACGCAACGGGCCGGGAAGCCAGCTGCGGGTCCTGGCCGCTGACACCAGAGCCGGAGGCAGCCGCTCAACCCAGGGCACAGGCGGGCGCGAGCGAAGCGGGCAGCTCAGTACTCACTCTGCGGGGACTCCCGGGCCCAGGGACCTCAGCTAGGTCCGGATGTTTGCATTCCTGCTTGGGAACTGCCTGGGCCTTTCCGAGGAGTTAGAGCCCAGTCCGAGCACAGCGTGACGCGGAGGGCGGGTCCCGGCTGCGGCGCCCTTCTCCCCTCGGCCCCGCCCCAGGAGCTCAGGACGGCGAGGGAGGAGGTGGCCTGGTGTCCTGGCCCTGCGTCCCCGCTGACCACCGGCCGCGAGCCCTGCGCCCTGCACTCGGCCGGACGCCTGCCCGCCGCCTCCGGACCTCTGCCCCCGGACTAGCAAAGGTAGTAGCTCTTTGCAAACTCGCTCCCTTAAATATCTGTTTTTCTTCCAGCACTGGCGATTGAACTCAGGACCTTCAAACTGAGCTACATCCCCAGCTCCTTTAATTTTTTTCTTTTTGTTGTTGAGACATGGTCTCATTAAGTCACACAGAAAAAAAAAGTTACTACGTTTTAAAAGAAACGTGGAAAGCTAACTTTTCCCCCAAATCCTAAACCAGCCACAATAGATAGACTCTGGGCCCTGAGCTGAGGTGAAAGCTGGGGAGCGGTTTTTCAGGGACAGAGACCTCATCCATGCTGGCGACTCGGGTCGCGGGAGTCATGAATCCGAGCTGCACTGGCCAAGACAGAGGTGACAGCCGGCCCCAAGGAAGAAGTGGGTGCTCAGGCACAGTGTGGCCCCCACCCCACGTAACAGCCACAGCTCCTGAGGGTCCTCACTCCAGCTCTGTGAAATAGAACTGGTGACGTGCCAGGCCTTCCAACTCCAGTAGGTTATAATTTCTTGAGAAGCCCCTCCCATTAATCCTTGATGAAAATGTACTTTAAAATGACTCTTTGGTTAATTGTCAGTATTATATTTCCTTAAAAACTAAAACAAACTAAACCTGAGCTCATCTGGTTTTCGCTGGTATTTATTTCTCCAGGGACAAGGACTGCTCAGCGTGACTTATTCGGGCCACGCCTTAGCAGAGGTGAAGCCTGGAGTCCAAGTCCCCGGGATCAGTTAGCTGTGTCTTCTGCAATGAAGGTGCATATCTATCTCTGTGCTTCTGAAGAGTACACATGAGTAATGGAAGGTTATGACAGAAGTTTTCCAAAGAGGCTTATGTTGCAGGCCAGGGAGCACAGGGCTGGCTGCCTTCATTGGAGATGGAGGAAGATGCGTGTCCTCTAAGCTTCTGCAGCCAGGGTCTCTGAGAGTCACCCTTTCTCGCTCTGGGAGGGGCTCCAGAGCATCTGTGCCTGAAACCTGGAGATGCCCCTTCCATACCATATGAAAGCCTGGGTACCGCTCCTGCCTGCTGAATTAGAATTTCTTGCCCTGGAAACTGTGAATCTGCTTTCAATCAGATTCTCCAGTTTATTCTTAAGCAACCTAAAGTACAGGCATTTAAATACCTACACTGTACAGTTCAGCCTCTTAGCTACTCACAGTATGATTCACAGAACAGCAGCCCGTGGGAGGTTGTTAAAAAGCAGAGCCTCAGCACCAACCTAGACTTGCTGAATCAGAATTTTCATTTTAATAAAAACCCTACTCATTCAATATGCACCTTAAGATATGATAATTACTGAGTACATCTTTTCAAAGTTTGTCTACTTATGTGCTACCTACACACTGCCATAATAAATAATACAAATATCTCCCATAATTGTATTGTTAACTTAATTAAAAAATAGATTGACTTTTTAAACTTGTCTTAAGCAAAAATATCCATAGGATGGTAAGTTTTATGTGCCACTTTACTTTTTATAGGACATCAAAGTATATACACAATAATTGAAACAAAAATGCTTTCCCTTCTTAACAGAGTAACCTCATAAACCACACATTTGGGGGTTCTATAGGGTTACTATGACATTGAATATCATTGTTGATCAGCCTCTGGCTCATAATATGTATAAGAAAAGTAAGAGTCTGAGAGAAGACCTGGGATCCCAAAGTTCTCAGAACTATCCATGGAAAAGAGGACTCAAATCACAAAGTATTTCTATGGCTATTTACTCTTTTGGGGAACCCTCTAGGCAGGAAGGAAAGTTATTTCCACCTTCTTCTTTTTAAATGTCTAATGTTGCTGGGCTACTTGTCATCAGTGACTTTCCTATTGTTCAATCAGGTTTTCCTCTCCCTACTGGGTAGTTGTCATTTGGCAGCTGGTTGCACATTTGAAAACCTTCACCACACACTAATAACTTCCCTTTAATCGGTATGTGCTTTCCTAAACTAGAATCCAGAAAAGTCGTATCCTCAGATTCCCCCATAGCATGACTGAGGCATGTGATTTATTTGGCCAGTTCAATGAACTGATTTGAGAATAAGACTGAGGTGGCCCACATGAGGAGACACTGCCCACAGGGAAGTCAACATTATAAGAAGGTATCTGATTGGCCAGGATGGGCAGTGGCAGGGGCAGTTTCTGGCCCCTGGTTCTAAATGTGTGATGTGTAAGCTTCAGTGGCATCTGGGTAAGCAGGAGAAACACCCAAGTGTTGTGTGCAGTGTCCCTGGCTGTGAGGCTTCGCATTCTTCCTGCTGGACCTTCCCAGATTTTTCTTCTAGCCACTCACTTAAGAAATCTTAGAAACTCCCTTTGGCTTAAACTAGCCAGAGTCGATGCTAGTTGGAACTTTAATTAAAGCATCTTCCTAGCATAGTCTTCTACAGAGATAGTTCTATTGCAGTCTGAAAGTTGGCTTCCAAACAATCTATTCTGTTTGTCAATTATCTGAGAACTGTTCTAGCAATATAAATACACAACTAGTTATGGATCACAACTATCTTCACATTGACTTTAGTAAGCATCTATAATTTCATAGTCTCATTAATCCTCATTGTTAATTTACCATTTTACAATAACTATTCTGAGTCAGTAATATCTATGCCACTTAGGAGCTTTGGATCTTCTCAGAAATACATGGAAGAAGAGACACTATTTATGAGCACATTTATTAGTTTTGTAAGAATTCTCACAAAACAGTTTTGCAGTGTGTGGAAACCATTCTATAATACACAGCTTGCACATAAGCTTCAAATTAAATACTTACTTTTGAAGATCAACTTTCAGGTGTTCACAATAATTTTTGAAAGTATCACTTATTAGAATTTTCAGGTTGAATGTGTTCAGAACCAAGGAAACCAGGATGAATTCTCACTGCCAGTTATGTCTACCATTTGATCATGACTTTTCTGAATGCTTTGGGAGAGTATCAGTTTACCTGTATGTGTTATGGCAATTGTGTAATAAAAGGCTTCAAGTTCTCAGACATGCCAATATCCCAGGCTTTTCTCAATGAAGCCTGGGAATGATAATTTTTAAAAGATATGTTCATATGAAGAACTCCAGTCTGGCATCAAAAGGAGAAATTAGCAGGCATCTACAGTTGTGTTTTTTGTTTTGTTTTCTTAACTTTGTACAAGTTAAAATCATGAGAAAGGTAGAAGGGAAGAATTCCACTCTGGTAAATCTGTTGGGAAACTGCTGAAGGAAAGTGAGTCAGAAAAACCTGGTAAGCAAAAGCAACAAGCGAGATAATAATGGAGGTGGGAAGGGACACTGTTTTAAAGGATAAGCAAAGTTTCAGGCCTGGCTTTGAAGTACTGACGCAATAAACGAATAGCTAAGATGCCTGCATTTCCCAGCTATGTTGTACCCCCAAGCCTAGTTTGTTAAGACAGAAGAGGGTTGGAAGACGAATCCAATTCCTTACAACCATCACCCCTCAGAAATATCAGATGACAACTTCCTGTGTGGAAAAAGTGAGAGGGAAAAGGTTCTAGTTCCTATGACTTTTATGTCAATTCTTTTTCAAGAAAAACACTAGGTGTGGTTTTCCACAACACATTTAACCTCCAAAAGTTTAGGTAATAGCAATTCTGGGAAAAAAAATTACAAATGACTTCACTTAATGTCATTGTGTGTAGGCTTTGCAAAAGGAGCCTTCTCATTTTTAGAGGTATAATTTTGGTGTAAGTTAACTATAGGTCCAAGTAAACATTACAGGTAAGAAATGTCTGGAAAATCTTTTCCATTTGGGGACCTTCAAACAACAGAAAATGAGGACAGATAGGAGTAACCACAGAGATACATTTCCCCAGCACCAGGACTACCAGTTGTCAGGCCCAGGGCTCTGTGTTTAAATATTTAATTTCGCCTCAGTTTTACAACAGCTCTGACAAGAAACACTTCCTTCTGCAGCTCATTGGGATCAATAAAAGGAGTGCCAAAGAGGAAACTTAGGCCTGGGTCTGCTTGGCTGAGCGAGCATCCCCTGACCAAGGAGCACCACAAAGACCAACAGTGAGCAGACTTCTAGTTGTGATTTATGTTAGCTCCAAATACAAGTGATTAAAATTCTCTATTTAAAACTACTAGACCACCTCCTGTTTCACAAGCGCAAGGTCCGAAGTTTGATCCCCGATACCAAAAAATAAAATAAAACTAATAGATGATCAGTACTTTTTATCACTTATTGCATGATAGAATGATGATTTGGAAAGGCCTGTAAAACACACTCAAGATCTTAAATTGGGATCGTGTTACTGTGCCAACCTCACCTTAGAGAGTTCAGCCTATTCTCACTTCTCAGCTCATTCTTGGTTTGGGCAACTTTAGGATCTTGAAGCTCTGGGAGACACTAAAATACTAACCCTTCATGAAACAAATGGTATAAATGAAAGAGTCCACAGCCTTCCACAGAATGGCCACCAACTTCAAAGGAAACCCTACTTGTTTAAAGTGTTGTACATATACTCCTGAAATAGACTAAGATGCCAGATAATCTGGATATACTAGAAGTGGATATACACAAAGTTGAAATGGACTGAACACAAAAGTGTTATGCATTAAAAACTATCAGTTTTGTTACAGAATCACAAAGTTGAAATGGACTGAACACAAAAGTGTTATGCATTAAAAACTATCAGTTTTGTTACAGTTTCTTCTACTGAAAAGTAAGGTTTCAGCGAATTTTTTCTTTCTGTAAGTTGCAAAGCTTTGAGGTGTTGTAGTACAAAAATTGCTCAGTGAGAGCTTATGGGATCTAGCATTGTTAAAGACCTTGTGTGTATAGGAAAGCTGGGTTTCAATCCTGCCTCCATCTTCCTGGCTTTGTGAGTATGTCAAGATTACTCAACCTCTGTGAGCCCTGCTTTCCTTAGGTATAAAGGAATAATAATAATGAGGTTGCAAGGAGATTACCTAAGGCAATTTCATAGAGCCCTTGGAGAGCCTGATGTGGTTAATGCTTATAAAGGAATCTTGAATTACTTTTGGAAGACGGAAGAGGATAATATTTTACTACATGTAGAAGTCCAGTGTAATTATAATATTATCTACTGAACACATTATTATATGTGGGGAGTAATTACAGCATAAATAGTTTTAGAATCATTCATATCATTGTGAGAAATTACATCCTCTCTCAGTGTAGTAGCATATAGCTGAAACCCCAGCACTTGGGAGGCTGAGGCAGGAGGCTTGCCATCAGTTGTAGGGTAGCCTGGGCTACATAGGGAATTCAAGGCCAGCCTGAATTGCTTAGAAAGACCCTGCTCAAAATAAAAAGGAAAAGGAGAGAGAGGGGGGGGGATCTCCTATCCTCTAACACAAAAAGGATAGCTTGCTCAAATATTTTCAGTGATGTGTGAGAACTTCTGGCCTCCTCCACAGGCCCTACCCACTGGGGAGGTGACACCCAGTAGTGCAGAGAAGAGAAGGGGATCTTTCACATACAGGAAGTAACTGACCTTGGTGGCCTGGGCTGTCCCACTGGCATGGGCTCTGGAGGGCTGACTGCTCCTGAGGCTTGCTGCTTTCTGCTTTAAAATAGAAAATACTAGTTTCATTGAGGGAACATACCTTCACAATGTGCATAGGCAAGTACAAATTTTCACAATAATATGAATATCTCCTCCAGCAAAAATCAGACTAGTATCCTAGCACACCCAAAGCAGATGCAAGTGTTTACTTTTTCATAACTTTTCCCGAAGCCTATATAATGAAAATGAAAAGCAAGCTGGATAAATGTCCTTGTTTAATATTCAGTGATTTTGGAGAACTGCAAAAATCCTCACATGGGCAGTTGTCATTCCCCACCATAAAACATTTCCAGAAGCCACTCATTATGGAATATTGCCTTCTTTCCTGCAGTTTTGTAGAGTGTGCAATCGCAGGTGATTTAGAATATATATCAAAGCCACAATTCTTTTACAACTTAGGGAAAGGATAAGGAAAGAGAGTTTTTTAAGTTTAAAGATATTCATGATATAAGCTAGTCATTACTCTAACATCAAAAAGTTGAAAACAATAACTTTAATGAACAATTAATATTTGAGGATGAATGAATTCCACTGACCACATGACAGCTGGGATTTGGCCACGAGAAGAAAAAAACCAACCTTGTTTGGCTTGCTACAAAGCCATTGTTAAAAATAGTATGCATAAATTTAAACTTAATATACGTGCTGATTTTTCTTTTATCCCCACATCAACTCAAGGCCTATTTTTAAAAAATGAGTTACTAGCAAATTCTACTGAGGTTATCTTACAGCTCAACAGAGGTGGACACCCTTGACTTTCCCGTGGGTGTGATCTGTTGCTCTTAAGACTGGCTTGTGCTCAGAGCTGCCTTCATCACTTAGTCTACAAAGAGCCAATTTAATTCAGCTGGAAGGGAAATTCAATTTGTAAAAATGATTTTTCTTTTCTTTTTCTTTTTTTCTTTGGAGACAGGTTTTACTGTGCAGCCCATGCTGGTCTCAAATCCACGAGCTCAAATGATTCTCTTAGCTCAGCTTCCCAGTAGTTGGGACCAAGCCTGAATTGTTGAATTTTTATCTAACAAATATTAAGCTTTTTGTCAATGTCAGTCAGTTAAAATACTGTGGGAAATTTTAGGAATTCATATAGGTATATACTTATTTTCAGAGTTTAATTACAGAGTGTTACATGAGAGCTGGCTGGCTCCCTTTCATCAATTTTGTCTGACTTCCTTCCTTCCTTCCTTCCTTCCTTCCTTCCTTCCTTCCTTCCTTCCTTCCTTCCTTCATCGGATAAACTATGAGCCAGGTCCTATTCTACGCAGTGGAGATCCAACGACTAATTCAATAGAAAAAGCTTCTGTTCCCCCAGCACTTACATTCCAGTAGATGGACTCAGGCCATTAATAAGTCTAAAGGAAAGATCTCAGGAAATGACGAATGTTGAGCAGACTGTAAAACAGGGTAAAGGAACAGAGTGGCTGAGGGCTGCTTCAGAATGGACAAACAAGTTACATTTGATTAGGACCTGTTTGTTATGAAGAAAGCAATCCTGCATAGTTGGTTAGAGGGGAGAAGCATCTGGATGAACAGAGCCGCACAGGCAAAGGTCCTGAGTTGGGAACAGGCTCGGCAAATTGGAGGAACAGAAAGGCAGTGGAAGGTACAGCATTAATGGTAGGATATAAAACAATGATGAAAGACCACGATATTGAACTTGAGTGATGGGGAACAAAAATGGGCCAGCCATCAGGTGTGTTTGGAATCATCTGTTTCTTCCTGATCTTCACTGGGTACTAATCTAGTCTGGGCTAGTCCTTATTTGCATCAAGGTGCCAAATTGTCAAAGTCCTCTGGCTTCGTGTTACCTTGTGCTTAGTTTTGCAGGTGTCTTCTCCACTTCCACACCTGTATCAGCCCTTAGAAATCCAGCCCTGCCAAGGCATCTCTCACTGGCTAGGTCTACTTGTTCACCAAGCAGGCACAGGGCCTCCTCTACCCTCAGAACAGAATTCACCACCCAGAGCAAGTGGTCTCTCTCAAAACAAGTTCATTCTGTGTTTATCCTAACCACAGCTATAGTTCTAGTCACTAAAGTAAAAGTTCAAATGTTAAATGAGAATGCTATTCCCATGATAAATTTAAATTTTAAGTTAAATTATTTTTCTTCATTATCATAAATCCAAACTGAAACCTACCCAGATTTCTCCTTGCTGACCAATCACAGATTTTTAAAATATTTATGGGCTATGGGCA